TGAAGGCCCGGATTGGCTCAGCGATAAGATTTTCCATCTTTTTGACAGTGGATATCAGCCCATTCCACATGTCCTTGGTGCTGTCACCACACCTCCTCATCGACTGCAGCGTGTAATCATGATCAAGGACAGCTTCGGAGACCAGTAGCGGGTTCGTAGAATAAGACAGGAAGATGTTCGCCGCACTTTCCATTGCCGCAAGCTCCGAAGAGAGCTTGGAAGCGGCCCTCGCATAGCCGTCGAGCCATCTTTCGAGGAATTCGATCTGGTCGGAGAAGTGAAGGGTGGTGGCTCGGAATGTGGGCGAGTCGAGAGCAGCCTCCTTTAGACCAACTGGACTTTACCGGAAGGGTTAGAAAGGAACCTATGCAGCGATTCGAAGAGGCAGAGCTGATTCAGAGGACTTACACGACGCTGACGAGCTTCCCGACCTGGGGTAATGGGATCTGCGGCTGAGTCGACATCTAGTGTATGTCACCAGCCATACACTTGATGCGAGCAGAAGTAGCGGCAAGACAAGGCAGCAATGAGGCCCCTGGTCAAGTCAAAGAATAATGATAGAAATGAAGCATCCGAAGAACTCAGGGATACAGGTGAAGGTGGGAAAGTAGCATGGCTAGTGGAGGAAGCTTACTAGGAGACAGAGCGCCTCTTGCTCGAGCCATCGGCGGATACAGGCCCGCGCATGATCTAATTGGCTACGTCAGTGGTTCCCTTTGACGGCCTTGGGTCCCCAGGCAACAAAGGGCCCTGTAGGGCGGTGAGCCCCGCCGACTTTTTTTTCTGCCGGCAACCGCTATTATTTTCTTTTGGGAGGCGCATTTGGTCGGAGATAACCACTTCCATCGATCGCTTTCCACATTCTAGTGATCTCCCGACAGCTGTGTCTGTTATTTCGGAATGGAGCCCCCAGCCAAGAGATCGCGCAAGTTGCTCGATGACGACAGCTCCAGCGACTCAGGAGACGAGTCCGGCGGAGTTCCCATCACCAATGAGGACATCACGTTCAAGATCAACGAAGAGTATGCGCGCCGCTTCGAATACAACAAGAAGAGAGAAGAGAAACAGCAATGTAAGACTCCATTCTTCTATAACCTGTATGTGGAGAGAAACTAAACTTTGTTCTACAAATAGTGGAGTCCAAATACGGAAAATCTGTCCTAGGCAAACGTCGCGATCGCGATGGTGAAGATGAGTCCGGCGACTCGGAGGATGATTCTACCTCTGAGGAAGAGGACGAGGATGGAGAATTGGCTACCGCCGCTCTGGATGCCGAGATTATGGCCACGCTGAACGCAATCCGATCAAAGGACCCTCGGGTGTATGATAGCAATGCCACTTTCTACACCGCAGCCGACGAGGAGGCGAAAACCGAAGGCTCTGGAAAGAAAGAAAAGCCTATGACCCTTCGTGATTATCATCGTGAGAATCTATTGAGTGGCGCCAACCTGGCAGATGAGGAGGCATCTGACGCGCCGAAGACCTACGCTCAGGAGCAGGAGGAATTGAAGGATGCGGTTGTCCGCGAAATGCACGCCGCTGCCGGTAAAGGTGATGAGAGTGAGGAGGATGACGAAGAAGATTTCCTTGTTGCCAAATCGGCGCCTGAACCTCTTCCGGAGCCCAAGAAGGATGTCAATCTGGATGTTGAGAATGCGGAAAAGGACCCGGAAACCTTCCTTTCAAACTTCATGTCGGCAAGAGCATGGATCCCTGCTGGTAGATCGGAACTTCAACCATTCGAGTCGGATGACGAAGAGGAGGATCAACGGGCCGAGGCATTCGAAGAAGCATACAACTTCCGCTTCGAAGACCCCAGCAAAATCAACGCTACTCTAATCACCCATTCTCGTGACCTGACCAACAAGCAGTCGGTTCGTAGAGAAGAAAAGAGCAGCCGGAAGAAACGCAGAGATGCGGAGAGGCAACAGATGGAAGAGGAGAAGAAGCAGCGCGAGACAGAAAAGAACCGCCTGCGGAAGCTCAAGATGGAAGAACTTCAAGAGAAGGTCAATCAAATTAAGGAGGTTGCTGGCCTTCGTGCCAATGAGATGACTGACGAAGATTGGGTCAGCTTCTTGGACGCTGCCTGGGATGACAAGAACTGGGAGGAGGAAATGCAGAAACGTTTTGGTGAAGACTACTACGCGGAGGGTGACAAGGACGGAAGCGGCGATGAGTCAGGGAAGAAGAAGCATCCGAAGAAGCCTACGTGGGATGATGATATCGATATCAAGGATCTCGTGCCCGACTTCGAGGAAGAGGAGAAGCCTGCCGTGGATATCTCCGATGTCGAGATGGAGGATGATGAAGAGGGAAGTAACAAGAAGAGCAAGGCGCAGGAGAGACGAGACCAGAAGCGTGAAGCGCGCAAAGACCGCCTTCGTATTCAGGAGGCCGTGGATCGCAACTTGGACCTCGATATCAGCCTTCTTCCGGGTGCGACCAAGAAGAATTCTACTGGATTCCGCTACCGGGAGACATCGCCTCAGAGTTTTGGATTGACTGCACGGGATATCCTCATGGCCGACGACACCCATCTGAACCAGTTTGCGGGCTTGAAGAAGCTTGCATCGTTCCGTGACCCTGAGAAGAAGGGTCGGGATCAGAGGAAGCTGGGCAAGAAGGCCCGTCTAAGGCAATGGCGCAAGGATACCTTTGGTGACGAAGAAGGCCCCAGGATTTCCGAGGAGGCGCCACGGGCACCTACACCGGAGAAGGACAATGTCGGTAAGGTTGATATCCGTGAGGGTGAACCCAAGAAGAAGAGGAGAAAGAGAAACAAGAAGAACTGAACCTGGGGTGCTTCTTACTGTACATGCATCTGGGATTATTATGATATACTAGACAGTGTTTTTCATTGTTCAATAACGGCGTATCGGTAATGAAAGCTGTCTACGTTGTTGGTAGATAAGCTGGTCAAAAGTTACAAAAATATTTACCTACTGCATAGCAAAGAGTTTATTGATTCAAAAGATCAGGTAGTTTTTTGTCAGTTCTCTTGATAGAACCGAGGTGCTCTACTGTAGTACCATCATGTCAGGAAAATGTGATCATTGGATATATGATAGTGGACTCTCGAATTGAATTCCCTGATGCTATATATTTTCGCGAGGACGGAACCAAGTAAATACAGTTCAGTCGACATACTAGTAACGATGAACTACCACTACAGTAGCAACTGCTAGCCTTCATAAACAGCCAAATAACCAATCAAGAACTCTCCAATAACATCAGCCCAACCAGCAACCTACGAATTGGAGTTTTGATTACACCTAAACCACACCCGAATAACCTACCGTTGCTGGCACAACGGCGCAGATGAAAAGTGGTATCCCCATGTTTTCTTAGCGGGTGGGTCCCGGATGAAAAGAGAACAGTTTGTCAGGTTTGCCCGCCCCGTCGAACAAACAAAAAATAGAAAAAAAAAAAAAAAAAAAAAAAAAAAAAAAAAAAAAAAAAAAAAACAAAATGAAAAAAAGGAGGAAGGGAAAGAAAAAAGAGAAAATAAAAGACAGAAAGAGGAGGACCAAGGTGGAAAAATGAAACTAGTCACTTTCAAGCAGAAACAGTGGGTCCCCGGCTGGGACAATTCCTGTTTGGGTAATGTAGGTCTCGTGTCTTCTTTGGCTGCATACGAAAAGATGATGCTGGCACTGGAATAGTGTGGAAGAACGTCGGGATCGGATAGATATACTGGTCGTATGTATATCTCCTGTATGAACTGGTATAGCATAGTTGTTTAATTTTCGAAGAGTGGTGATAGTTGAATGAATAACCCCTTAGTACACTTATGAGACGACTACTTGCGATCTTCGGACACTAGGATGAGGGATAAAAAGGAGTACGGTCTGAGGTATATAACATAACCTCTAGCAACAAGCATATGCTACTGCTGTGCCCTTGCCTACGAAATGCAGCATAACCATGTAGTACTACTCATAGGGAACCAAGCTTGGATGATAAGAACTGATAGTATTTAACCGGGGAGAGTATGATAGAATACCAACCTATGGGATACTTCATATTACCGACGTTGTCCGTGTTTGCGATCGCTGCTCCCTTGGCCGGCCCCTTCTGTCTCTGTCTCTGTCTCTCGCTCTGTCTCCGTACCTGAGAACTTCCGCCCGGAGCAGAAAAACGGGGAAATCGCGGCATGTCAGCCGAAAGACGCCGCACGCACCTGATCAGTCCCGGTGGCGCGTAGGAAGGCCCAGAAACCATGGACTCCGTTTGGATGCTGCAGATAGATAAGTAGTAGCGTAAGTACTTAGGCGAGTAAAATTTTGTGAATTATTTTCGAGCAATTTCTGCAGAGACCGACGCAAATTTACAATTGCGCTCCTGCAATTGCCGTTGTGCACAAATAAGTCAAAGTACACAAGATGGAGGCCGAGAGGCAAGCGTTTGCCATCGGATATCCGGGACCAAATGGGAAGAAGGGGCGGTTCCCCATGGATGGAGCGCGAAGGTGTGGACACTCCAAGGAAACGCTTTGGTTCGGTCAAGACGGGGAAATGGGAGAGGAATGGATGGGTATCTTACGAAGCCGAATTACGGAGAAAGGGCCCAAACATGTAAATTATGGTCTGTAGGTCAATCAGCAAAGGACCGAGCGGTGATTGCGAGTACACCGATCGGTAGACTACGGAAGGGATGAAAAAAGGACCAAGGGAAGAAATATCGAGAGCTACATGCCGTTTCGGAGGCTATTAGATTGATATATTCCAAAATATCATTCCGTAGGTATAATCGCTATAATGAAGGCTCAAATGAAGATGAAAGTGGCTTTTTCTTCCTCTTTGACCAGAAATTCACTCATAGTAACTAAAGGTATCAAAGGGTATTTCCCAATAATGTCAGCGGTCGGAGTTGGTTACTGGCGCGATCGGGAGATATCGGCTCTTCGTTGCCTGGGCCAGCATTAGCGCCGGGTCCAGTTTTTTTTTTTTTCTTGCATCTGTTTTTTTTTTTCGTTCCCCCTAACAATGGGAGGGCCTCCCTACTCCGTACCGGGCCAACCAATCCGGCCAATGGAAACTGGGCCGGGGCGCCCATCGCCGCCGCTGCCACTGCAAATTCAGGCCAGCGAAAAACCCAAGAGCGTCCTAGCGTCTCCGCTCGCTTCTTCCCGCTTACAAGAGCCCTTCGCTCGCTATTTTTTCTTCCCTCCCTTCCCTTCCTCTCTTCCTTTTCTCTCCATCCCCTTTGAAGTGTCCTGTTTGACTGGCACTATCATCCATCTCCTCTCTTTCTTTCCTTAGTTTTCGTTATCACAGCCGTCAAAATGGCCAAGGGTGATGTTAACCAGGCCGACAAGACCGTCTTCGGCATGCCCGTAAGTTCCTACTTGTCCCCTACGAACGGAAAGGCCAGGTTGTCGGATGTCACGCTCTCGATGGAATCGATCGAAATTGGTCTTTAATATCGAAGATCGAGTACTACATTCCTTGGAGACACGATGGTCGAACAATTTGGCCCGGTTCAATGGTGTTGTTGCCGGACTAGGTGGCTAATGAAAAATTTTCACAGGGATTCGTCGTCGACTTCCTGAGTATGTGCATTTCAGCTCGCCCCGAATGATCGATCCCTATACTACGATCGATCAATCCCTATCCAACGAGCAACACGGATTATCTGATCATGACCTGAATTTGATACTAACTACTGGTACAGTGGGTGGTGTCTCCGCTGCCGTCTCCAAGACTGCTGCCGCCCCCATCGAGCGTATCAAGCTCCTCATCCAGAACCAGGTTGGTTAAGCCTCAACACCAATGTCTCGCACTTCCGGAACGAAAATTGCTGGCACGATCTGCAATTGCGTCTTCGAAACGACATCTTTCCGACCGAAGATTGCCAATTCAGCCGGGCGCAAAAATTTTCGCTCCGGACAGTCCGGACATGAGATCGATCCAAACAGATGCTAATACGATTGCCCTTCAGGATGAGATGCTTCGCGCTGGTCGTCTCGACCGCAAGTACAACGGTATCACGGACTGCTTCCGTCGTACCGCCGCCTCCGAGGGTGTTGTTTCCCTGTGGCGTGGTAACACTGCCAACGTTATCCGTTACTTCCCCACCCAGGCTCTTAACTTCGCCTTCCGTGACACCTACAAGTCCATGTTCTCCTACAAGAAGGAGCGTGATGGATACACCAAGTGGATGATGGGTAACCTTGCCTCCGGTGGTGTATGTATCCCTATATCCAGCTTAATACTCGAGCGATCACGCTAACAATTGCTTCAGGCTGCTGGTGCCACTTCCCTCCTCTTCGTCTACTCCCTCGACTACGCCCGTACCCGTCTTGCCAACGACGCCAAGTCCGCCAAGGGCGGTGGTGACCGTCAGTTCAACGGTCTCGTTGACGTCTACAAGAAGACCCTCGCCTCCGACGGTATTGCCGGTCTCTACCGTGGTTTCGGTCCCTCCGTTGCTGGTATCGTTGTCTACCGTGGTCTGTACTTCGGCATGTACGACTCCATCAAGCCCGTTGTCCTGGTTGGTCCTCTCGAGGGTAACTTCCTTGCCTCTTTCCTGCTCGGCTGGACTGTCACCACCGGTGCCGGTATCGCTTCCTACCCCCTGGACACCATCCGTCGTCGTATGATGATGACCTCCGGTGAGGCCGTCAAGTACAAGTCCTCCATGGATGCTGCTCGCCAGATCGTCGCCAAGGAGGGTGTCAAGTCTCTCTTCAAGGGTGCCGGTGCTAACATCCTCCGTGGTGTTGCCGGTGCTGGTGTCCTGTCTATCTACGACCAGGTCCAGCTCATCCTCTTCGGCAAGAAGTACAAGGGTGGCTCTGGCTAAGCGCTTGATTAATTTCAAGCTGTTTCAGTCATGATATCGGGGAAATGGGGTTGCCGGTGTCTTGGTGTAACTACCAGATGCTGGAGGTGCTGCGGAGGATAGAAATATGCGTCAAGAGTGATATCAATAATCTTGAGCATAGAATCGTGTGATATTTCCTCTTGTACCAGTTGTATTTTACTGCCCGCAAGCTTATTTCTTTTTTTCTTCCAACTGTACTTTCTCCACCTTGGTATCAAAATCAGTATGTCCTGCCTTGGATCATATCAGTTCTTAGTCCGTAAAGTAGATGCCATAGTTGCTGTGAAAATTTGCAGCATTCTGGTCACCTGACCCAATGGCAACGTCACGTGTAACAAAGCTCCATGACGTCGATCCCTGCTCCAGCTTCATCCCATAGTTATAGCTTCCTCCCTTATAGTTCATACATCCCCTTCCCCAATTCCACCTATATCCAAAATGACCAGTTCCTCCACCCCAGATGAGGTCCCTCCCCGGACCTCCAGCCCAGCCGCCGCCTCTGACTCAGAGCCAGAGCCAGAGCCAGAACCAGAGCAAGACACAACCCAACCCGCAACCACCTCCGCGACAGCCACTGCCCCAGCATACTCTCCCATCTACGCCACCGCAGAACCCAGCGACCTCCCACCTCAAACAACCAATTCCCTGGACACCCAAGTGCCATTGACACCCGCAGCAGCCACTACCACCATCACCACCACCGAAGACCCTCCTCCAACTACATCTACATCTACATCTACATCCCCACCACCACCCCAACCAGGCGCCCACCCTATCTCTTCCCCAACATCCACCACCTCAAACCCTTCACCATCACCACCTGCGCCAAAACCAGCCGACCCTCCTCTTCCACCAACCATCACACCAGCACCAGCACCAGCACCTGCACCAGCACCAGCACCCGCACCAGCACCCACAGCATCCTCTTACACCCCAACACCCCCATCCAGCCATACCCACCCCCAAAGCTACAGCTACAGCTACAGCTACGGCAGCTATCGCCCACCAACCCAAACCAACCCCAACCCCATCCCCAACTCGACCACAACACCCTACGGCTCCCTCTACCAGCCCCCCACGACAGCTACCACGACGGCCACTACGACGGTGACTTCTGCGGGGGCGCAGTTGCCCTTGCATTATGAGCCGGATGCGTCGTCGTCGGGGAGGGTGGATCTGGGTGATGCGGAGGGTGAGGATGGAGTGTGGGGGTGGATGAGGTGGGCGGGACGGAAGTTGGGGGAGGTGGAGGCGGAGGTGTGGAGGAGGATTAATGAGGTTCATGATCGGTGATTTATTTTTTTCTATATAGGGGTGTTGGTTGAGGTAAGTAGGGAGGATGTTGGGTAGGGTTGGTTTGGGGTGTGTATGTATGATATGGATATCTGTTGGGATGGGTGGGCGTTGGTTTGGTTTGTTGGTTTGGTTGTTTGAGTGTGTCTGATTAGGTTACTACTACTAGTATTTGCTGGGATGGGAAGGGAACGGTATAGGTTGTGCTCGGGGTTTGGGTTGGGATAAAAAGGTGGGTGTGTTTGGGGTTGTAAACTATGTACTACGTAACTTGTTCTTGAATTACTATTTATGTTACTTAAATGTTGTGAGATAAACAATAGAGAATACTAAGTATTTGTTTCGAATGTATTATACCAATTTTAGTTATATACTACGAAACTCTACGGGTAAAGGCATGAGTATGTGATGACTATGTGGCCGAGACCAAGCATAGACCGTATATTTATTATCTCTATGTGTAAAAAATATGTCCAATGCCTCACTCGGCAGACTCAAGCTATCAACACTGAGTCGAAAGAACCATATAAACAATATGGATTGAATGGATAGAAGTAGTCCATTGCAGTTTGTTGCCATGCAACAATCATATGTTCCAATAATTGCAAGAATGGAGAGTGGTCCGGGGTGCCAGTATGTGTGTTGAAACGCACCCCCAAGAACGCCTGATGGGCAACAAGTTCATCAACCTTGTACCAGGTCGATGTAATTATGTGAATGTTGTTTTAAAGAAATGCCAAAACGCCGGGGTCATTCCCAGAACCCAAACCCAAATGCATCGTCAGGATCGAACCAGTCGTATCGATAACGTCGTCCAGCTTGCTGGTGTATTCTTTGAACAAGAAAAGTAATCGTAGAACGTAAAAGTATGTATCAGGAAATGGGACCAGCCTCAAGTCTCAAAGAGACGTTGCAGGGTTGCAAGAACACAAGATGTTCTTGACAAACGCCTGCCAAAAGTATATATATGATTACATTGATCCGAGTCGGAGGAGCGCCTCGACTGCAGCACGCTCCTCCCGGTCACCCATGACACCCTCCGGGAGGGTAAAGCCGTGTTGTTGAACCGGTAATCTGCGCGGTGCAGACTTCGCTAGCGACGACGCAGCAGGTCCTCCGCCGCGCAGCTGTGGCGAATTATGTGTCCCATTCACGAAGCCTCCCGAGGCGTTCAATGATCGTGCGCGAAGCGCATCAGCACCTATCTGTGCCCAATCTTCCTCGTCTGTGATGTCTTCTTCGCCCCAGTCTTCGTCCTGCATCTCGTCGTCCGGGGCCTCAGACGACGAGCAGTACTCGCGCTCGTTTCCGTCGAGTGACATCTTGTCAGCCTCATGTTCCAGCATGCTGATATCATGTCCACCGTAGTCCATCTCCGAGTAAGAGAAGACAGCGGAGTCGCCAGTAACGCTACTGCCATAGGGCTGAACGCTTCCCCGCTTCGTAGGGATCTGCATTCCCCGTTGCGGGAAAGAGTTGGAGATACTGGCGGGTGGCGACACGTTGAGGTGTTGCGCATCCCGCAAAGGCTCACCACGACGGCGAGCATCCCAGCGTCCCCAGCCGACCTTTTCGAAGATAACATCACCATCACGGCCGCCACTCTTGTCTTCGCTCCCTCGGCCTTCCAGCGCAGCGACCACCAGCCTGCGGGCTTTGGCAGGCGGGATGCCTGAGAATCCAGGGACACTAGTAGTCAAATAACCCATCAGGTGGCGAATAGCCAGAGGGCCATGCTGCAGCATGATTTCCGGGAGATGGCACTTGGCCAACATGCCGGGCGTGATAGCCCCGGTGCTATCTAGATCATGAGCCGACGGACGAGCTTCATTCGAGTTGTTCGTATGATCGGCGGCATCTCCGAGCTCAACATCGGACTCCACATGCGAGGAGCTCAGCGGGGAGTATCCAGGGTGATTAGCGCCCTGGCGTCTGAAGCCCTGCGGAGGCAAAGTGGGGGAAATGGAGTTGGGCGGAGTAGGCAACATGGCAGGATGCCCCGGACGAGCGGAGTCACGACCGCCCGGGGTGAAACCGGAGCGCGGCTTGGGGATATCGACAGAGGCCGTCTTGCCAGCAAGGGCCATAGCAATGCTGGAGGTGGTATTCATGAAAGCCATGGTGATGATCGAGACCAACAAGAGGATCTAGATACTTTCTTTTATTTTGGGGGGACCTGAGGGTGGCTAATCTGCTTATCAAATGAGTCAGAGGACCATCCGCCAATCATTGCATGAGGCCAACCAATGGAACAGATGACTAAGTCCCACACTCAGAAGGACAATTGGGAAGTATAAGATTCACGCGTTCGGAGGCAAAAAGGAACAATAAGGAACGAAAACCAAAAATTGAGCTCAAAGGAATTTGGTTGGAATTTTTTCTTTGAGGGCTTGGTACTCACAGTGCACTGTTCGCAAAGGCAGATCACAGTCGGGACAGCTGTGCAGACGCAACGCTGAGGCGTAGTATGCAGGGTAGATGCGATGCGACGCGCTAACTCAGCGTACTACTGGGCAGGAGAGTTGATAGGAAGGATGACGCGACAGGTCGAGACAAGCAGAACCAGTGATGATCGAGCCAACAAGAACCAGGGGGGGAGGTCAGAAAGCCTTGGGGAAGTTCTTTGATGAGGAATAGGATGAGAGGAGAGAAAGGAGATTTGGCAAGTAGAAGGAGGAAATGAGACGGAGAGGAGAAGGAGGGGGGTAAACGCAAGGAGTGGTGGTTGCAGTCCGTCAATAGTAGTAAGAATAGCAATAATGGAATGTCTGTCAGCCGGGAAGGAGGCGCCTTCTTTCGGGGCAAAGATAAAAAGGGAATTAAGTAGGTGTGTGTGTGTGTATTATTGATTGGAAATAAGATAAAACAAAATAAAATAAAATAACTCAGTAGATGCCAGATTTGAAAGGTACGGTATTTTGTTCCTTTTTTTTTTTTGAAAAAAGATCCCTGGCAAAAAGGAGTTAAATTAAATTGATTTGATTGAAGACGAACCCCCTCTCTCCGGTGAGATACACAGTAAACTAAGTAGATAATTAGTGTGGGATGACGACCTCCTTTAAGGATGGAACTGCCTGGTATGTCCGAGTCTCCAGTACGACCCTCTTATCATCGACATCTTTCCCATCAAGTTCCCCTTATCCATCCTGTCAGACCCAGAACCTCCTTCTTACCGACGCAAGCAGTCCGCCGTACCAGCCCGTGGCCCGGCTGATTGGTTGCCAGCCTCAGGCCCGCCGTAGACAGCGCCGGGAGCTTCCGGGGGCAATCGGCCCTGATTTCAATCCTCGCGTTATCTTACCGTATTTTGTAAATTTCCACATACACACACACACACACACACACACCGGCTTATCACTCACACTTTCCATACCGAGAAAGTAGATAGTAACACTGTAGATACTACTTATTGCAGAAAGCCACTCCATTCTTGGGCTCATATTCTTTTCTATCTTTACAAACTAATTAATTAATATGATTATCCCCATATTCCCCCCTCCATCCTAGATGCTTTCGTCATTACCTTCACACAGACTACAAAGAGTAAGTCGGTGACGAAGCCTGTGATACCCGCCCCAAAACCCAACCGACCACAAGTTGGTTGAATTTCACCACACCCCCCCCAATGAGGTAATTTCAATAGGACGTATACTACAACCACCACCTCCACTTCCTTGGTTTTAAAGAGTAGTAGACGAAAAAGCAAACGTTTCCACTTGATTCCATCGAGCATATCAAGGCCGGTGCCTCGTGCCCGTGCGCCCCCCTCCCCGCGTCTAGGAGGGTTGATTGCAGGGTTCTTACCCTACAACTGGATTGACCTTCATGGGTTTTTTGTGGTACGCGATAACCTTCCATGATGACGGCACGTGGGTTGTCGGGCACCGCACATGCGCAGGTGGACGCCGTGGTGACTGGCTGTGCATCCCACCCTTCATCCAACCCCCATGGAGAGTTTCTTTTTGCAGAAGCCTAAATGTTGCATTGGGAAAGTAAAAAGTGTAGAAATGTGGATTGTTCCTTGTGTGCGGGATTCATGGGTAAGAACTGGGGCATTTTAGGTTGCACCGGAGCTTGCTCTCAATTTTTGGGTTGGCGACAACAACGTGATTCTAGAGAGGCATTTAATTGATTGACTAGCGAGAATCCTCTACTGCGTATCTACTTCATCTGATGGACCCATTAGATGCGTTCCCAATATTCCCGTCATTGCATCATATACTTCTTGCTAGATATGTCGACGTTCATTAGATTGCCTGTCTGCTTTTTGCTCATGCAGCAGGCCTGCATCGAATAGTACGGGGGTGTCATGTCCTCATCGGCCATATCAGGCTGGTTGGGATGTCGGTTGGGGGAAATGGACAATCGCTCACTGGCTGAGACGGGCTCGTGATGTCTATGCATCTCCGCTCGGGCCTTTTTTCTCCTTTGCTTTTTCTACTCTGGTTCTAATGTCGTTTTGCTTGTGCCGCATGCGATCAACATTCGCCCCCACCAATCGTACTAGAAAGAGGAGTTGACGGGGGATGGTTCTCCGTTTGTTGACGATGATTATAAACTGGAGTGTCTTTACACGTTGACTTCAAATTGTCGGGGTGGATAACATTATTAAATAGTGGTGTATCAGGATGCTGGATCTACTATTCAATAGAGTAAGTATCTACTGCATAGTGGGTATGTTATTTATATCCTTAGAAGTGGATTCAATAAACTAGAGGCTAAAGGTAGACTATTTCCAGCAACGCCGCATCTAAATAAATAGTAGTGGTCTATTATTGTCATTTCCCCCTAAACAATAGGGACTGTTTTGATCTATCACCCTTATGCAGATTGGTTGGGAATTCCATGGAACTTTCGATTGAACATACTATTTTCACGACTAGAAGGAAAAGGCAGCCTGAGACCCATAGTTGAAAAGCAATATACGGGATCTACATCTTCCATACGATCTGCCGCTGCCGCAGCCACAGACTACTACAACCATACTATGTAGACTGTGGCGAATCTGTGCCACTTTAATAGCCAGGCCATTATCATAGTCAAATATATGGACCAGCAAAATTACAACATACAACACAATGTAATTTCATAACTACAGACATCGGGCAGCTGGATAGTATAAATAGGAGTGATTGATCGATGCCCAATGTAGTGGTATCCGGTGCTACGATTCGTTCTGATACCATACAGAGAACTAATGGAATTTCTCAGCTCATACAAACTTCCTGTCATCCACATGACCGTCTAATGCAGTTGCATGTTTGACAATCGTACAGAAGAAATCGATACCGCAACGCTTTTTGATTCTATATACTATTTATAAGCGCGTCTTACTGGATCCAAGCATGCAGCTCCTTTTCTCGAACCTTTCTCGTGCCTAAGAGATAACACAGCTGCGGCTTATAGGCGTTTCCACATATACTAATGCTAACCGTGGTGCTTTGACAGATTCTTAGTGTCTGGTAGTCCAACCATGTGAGATCTTTCATTCTGCAACCCAATGTCTCTCACTCCACAGGATTGAGAGAGTCATGCTCCTATCGTTATCCAAGCCCAATCAAGTAAGATTTGGCTAACATACAGTTGACCCGTGAATTATCTGAGCCGAGGGAAGCAAGTGCAGTAACCATGTAGTATTAATGTATACCAATAGTGCTAAGATATAATATATCGAAACCATGACTATCTGAGACGGTGGAAAACGGGCATTCCTTCCATACTCTGAGAGAGGTCGAATTGGTGTAAAAGGTCAGGCTCCCGATCGTTGTTTGAGTCCGTTGATCTACGTAGTCGTTATTGGGACTGCTGGGAACGCCACATATCAGTGACTATACTTGCACTTACAGCTTTTGCAATCTACTAAACGGACACTACGGGAAAGACACAGAGGATCATCTCAGGCTGCATCTGTTTTTTATAGTCTCTCAAATAAGGAACTGTCTCTGGACATGTCACCATGAGATCCGAGCCTCACTTCAACCACTCGCAGTGGTTCTATAAGTAATGCGCTAAGCAGCCAAGCTTAGCAATCTAATCTCTCACTAGATGGCCGAACTGCTAGCTCATTTGCAGTGACTGAGGAGTCCAATTGTAAGGTCACTAGGAGCGGAATATGATAGTATCATCCCCTGTTATTGGGACAAATATGGACTCCGACCACTTACGAGAAATTAGACTTATTTCTCACTGGGAGACATCGGATTGGTATTACCCGTTGTACTTCCATTACAGGTACTAACTTGCAGGCATTATCTACCAAGCGGCGCTTGGCTATGCTCGTATGAAGCCCTGGTAAAGTTCTACTACACATGACAGACACAAGGTGTCTTAAATCAACTGATCTAAGCCGATTTAGCTACACAGAGCGCCGTTTGGTCCTAAACTACAGCAATATGTGAGAGAATGAGGATATACCGTTCAAGCCTGCAGTGGCGTAATGGTAGAACATCACTAGGAAGGCCCTATTTTGTACAAGAAGAGGTAGGGGACTCTCTTCTTGGTATTTAAGAACTAAAGATCTGACTTCTGTTGCAGGTATCTAATCTACCCAGAGGCACCCATGCAAAGAAAGTCAAGGGGAAATTGACTCCTCTAGAACCTGGAGCTAAACCTAAAGTTTAGTACATCTATCGCAGCTGGTAGGGAGGGCAACGTAATCTCCAGATAATTTCTCAATATATTTACTAAATAATTAGTCAGTTCTAGAGCTGTATTTGGGATTAATCCTTGTATAAGAAATTATAGAGAGTAACTACACGGTAACAAAGGAAATAAGAATTAGGAATCTGGATCCTGAAAGCGTCCAGTCTATAAAAGTATATAAGAACATCAGGCCGCACGGATCTGTCTATATAGAGGCTTCTAGACTTTATACAAGGATCTGTCTATTCATTGGGATTCAATTACAGAGTTAGAAAGCTTTAATGCTAGATAGAGAGCATTATCTACATAACTGCACACGCAATCAGGCGGCTGTAATATGTTAAAGAATATAAACCAAAATAAACTAAACTACAACTGATATACTGTTCAATTTTCCCCAGTCGCCCACGTATCTGGAACTACGATAGTTGAAGTGAGCCTGAAAATATGCTACCAATTATATGCGTAACCTTTTCGACATAGTACTACACTGGCTGATAAGATTCGACTAGGAGGTCTCATCTCTGGAAGACAAGCAATCATACCCCAATAGTCATACTGTCTACCTGTCTACCATATTAGCCCAAAATGAATAGGCCGCTGACTCTCTTGTTTCCCTTTGTATAGAAATGTCAATTGAAGAGATGATTTAAAATGGTTCGTCTCCGAAGTAGGATACTGATAACCTATATACATGCAATATCTTATCTATTGATCTCACTAGTGTCTACAGCAATAGAACTGAAATATGATACACGCTCGCTTGTCAATATATGAATTTCAATACATGATATATGACAGGCCATAACTAGAGATAACTAAATGAGATCAACGCTTATCTCAGCCGAGTCAGAGCCGGGGGGTTCCGCTTCCGATCTTATCGGCGACGCATCCGAAAAGTGCACATCGCAAAGCCGGTCCACCTTTCGGAATCCCCTCTGCGGGGTTCGTCCCTCTGCCCTTATCCTGGCCCATAATTCGCCTCTCCAGCAAGCATAATGGTTTCCTGCACCCATTCACTTACTGATTGGTCCACATCTGCACGTTCACAGCTGTGCAGTTACTCACAGCCGTGCGTTCACCACTGCACCTTCACCCGACGGACCAAACATCGGAATATTCCCGGCGCAATATTCACTGCCATTGAAGTAGGCCCCAGCCGTGCCGAAAATCTTGCCTATTAAAAGGCAAGGTTCACCTCAAACTATTCCTTGAAACTGACAGCCGTGTGGGATCCCGCGCTAACAATTTGCTTTTGCAGTTGAGGAAGAATCGTTGTTGCACACACATCTACTCACTAAGCTCCACCTAGTACTGACTGACATCATGGCGGGATCTTCCGCAGTGGACTATTCACCAGTTCGCGAAGCTGGGCGCATCTTTTCTTATCTCTGTGATCAAGCTGAGCAGCTCGATTTACCTAAAGAAGTGACCGAGGGCAAGGATGCCGTTTCTTTCTCTTCAACACATGACGAAGTTTATTTTCCAATTCCTTTTAAGGAAACCGAGACGCTTGCTGCCCTTAAGGGTGTTGAGGGTTCCGTAGCCGGTGCTATTGCAGACCTCCGCTATGGACCTTCTGAACACAAGCGCAATGTCAACATAAATCTTGAACGGGCGACTGCGTTTGGTTGCCAGGCTTATATGGCCAAGGTCGACGGGCTGTCCAAGTTGGACCCCGAGGTGAAGAAGAAGCTGAAGGGTAAGCTGCCCATTTTTAAGCACATTCGACTCCAGCTAACAGACGTAGATACCGACTTGCTTGCAGCCCAATCCAATGGCTACCGCCGGATGTCGGCGAACCTCTACAAAACCAAGAACGACAACGAATACTTCCACATCCACGGCTCGTTGGAGGCCACCACAACGCTCAACATGATTGGCCTGGAAGGGCAGCGTCCCGACTTGACAGACTACGAGGAGATCATCAAGGTCATTGAGAGCCACGTGCAGAAGTACAGCGCCGCGGAGCTGGAAGAGATGAACAGAGAAAGACGACAGGCGGGTGTGACCGCATTCAAATATGACGATTTCAAGAAGACCCCACATGTATGATCCCTGCCATATACCCACCAAGCAACGCTGACAGGCTATCTATCAGGGAGCACTCAACGTCCAACAACCTCCGTGGACAGTCAGCCGTCTGAATGGAGACTTGCCGCCGACCCCATTCCCAGCCAGCCGCAACGGCAGCAAGAGAGTTCTCGAAGGTGTTAAGGTTCTGGAGCTGTGCCGCATCATTGCCGGCCCTACTGTTGCACGCATCCTGGCCGAATACGGCGCGGACGTTCTCAAGATCACCAGCCCCAACCTCTCCGATGTCCCTTTCTTCCAAGTTGACGGCAACATGGGCAAGCACGCTGCCGACCTGGATCTCAAGAGCGAAGCGGGTCGCCGCCAGTTCGAGGAGCTCGTGGCTGATGCCGACGTTGTCGTGGACGGGTACCGCCCTGGTGCGCTTGAGAAGTTGGGCTATGGCCCCAATGCTCTTGCTGCTTTGGCTGAGAAGCGCGGCAAGGGCATTGTGTACGTCAATGAGAATTGTTTCGGTTATGAAGGAGAGTGGGCCGGCCGTCCTGGCTGGCAGCAGATCGCCGACTGCGTAAGTGCTGCCTCCAATTAATCACGATTATAAATAACTGACATGCAACAGGTCACCGGTATCGCCTGGGCTCAAGGTCAATTCATGGGCCTCTCCAACCCCGTCGTCCCCCCCTTCCCCATCTCCGACTACGGCACCGGCTGCATGGGCGCCATCGCCGCCCTGACTGGTCTCTACAACCGCGCCAAATACGGTGGTTCGTACCACGGCAAAGCGTCTCTCATGCACTACGACCTGCTGCTCTTTGCCGTGGGCCAGTACTCGGAAGCCATGCAGGAGAAGATGCGCGCCGCGCAGCCAGCAGAGTTCTTCAAGCTTCGTCATTGTGACAGCGTTGATCGCATTTCATCGACCGTTCTTAAGATAATGCAGGCACGTTTCCCTCACCTCTACCGTGCTCCTGAGGAGGCGGGCGCGGAGGCCCTTACGGAGAAATGGTTCTCTAAGGCGTACAATGCGGACATTGAGATCGTTCGCCCGATTGCAGAGATCGAGGGTGTCGATAACTCGTTTGTTCGGTCCAGTCGCCCCAACGGTACTGATGCAGCGAGCTGGGAGGACTTTGAGAAGGATGTTGATAGCCGGAAGGCGTAGGCCTACTACATACATAGGACCATTTATGACAATATTACCAATAATGAACATCACCACAAAGCATGCAGTATACTAAACTACGTAGAAATAAAGAAAGACTAGCCAAATACCTCCTAACTCTTACGCAAGCAAAACAGCCGTCCCCTCAGCCAAGACGGATAAGAATACAAATCACCATACCGATCGGATCCGATAACCATCGCCGCCATCCATCCATTTATCGGAAGTCCCTCCATCGGCCCGACAGATCTTGTTCTCCCCTCACTAAGTGACTACTTACATCACCGATCTATGCAAGCATCCCAATTGCCTTCTATTAAAATAAAACTATACCCCTCACAACCACCCCTACACCATCCAATTCACAACACCTCACCCCCAAACCCAAGAATAATTAGACATACTATACATCAAAAATGAGCTACACAATCACCACCCCCCCATCCAATCTCCTCCCCCCCACCAGCGCCGCCATGATCTCCTTCCTGGAGAACTTCTACCGCATCAGCGACACCGAATCCTTGCACAACGAATACGTGACGAATTTCACCGAAGATGCGACGCTCATTATGGGCTCGAAGGTTGCGAAGGGGTTGGATGGTATGCTTTCCCCAATTCCCTTTTCTTCATGCAATTACATCTATCTACTACAAATAAATCCGAACCACAACCCTGACTTACACTAACAAATATGTATAATACAGAAATCCTCACCCTCCGCCACGGCCTCTGGACCCACGTCGCACGCCGCAAACACACACCCGAGCGGGTATATTTCGGCGCGGAGCGAGAACTCATGCTGTATGGGACGGTGAAGTATGTGCTGAGGAAGGATGTGGAGGCTGGAAAGCCTGATGAGGAGATTGAGGTGCCTTGGGCGGGGAGGGTCGTGTTTGATGAGAAGGTCGAGAAAATGCGGTTTTATCAGGTTTATTTGGTATGTATCCCCCCCCCTCTTCCCCCGGACTTTTTCTTGGTTGGTGGTGGTTTGGGGATGTTGGCTAATTGGTTGGTGACGTGTAGGATCCGACGGCGCAGGGTGGGAAGAAATAGGTACTTAGTTGGGAGTGAGGAGTAGTTTGTGGGGTTGATATGTTGGTGTGATAATTGGTACGTAGTATGAGGGTGAGGTTGGGGTGTTGGATAGACAGACGTATTGCATAGTAGAGTAGGTGGATGGGCATTGATTGCATGGTGATGATGATGATGATGATGGTGTATATAGTTGGTTCTTGTATATGGTTGTATGCATTACATTGTTCTTGTGGTGCGGTTCTCGTTGATGGGCTTGCATATATGCTCAAATACCTATGTCTCTGGTGGCTGGCTTCTAGACGGGCTCTATACATCTATCGGGAGAGGAAATCTAGGCAAAATTCTACACCATGTATGAATTGTCCTTTATGCCCGCAGGAACAACCAATTGATCGATAAAAAAAAAAGAGAAAAGGTAGTAGTAGTCAAGTCATCCTCTCCCTGTCGTAGCCACTCATTCGTCCCAATATTCCATTTCCCCATCTAACCCAACACACCCCCCCTGGGTGGCCCCCATCCAAACCCGCGCGGGATTTGGTGTCAGAAGACAAACGGGGAGTTTTTATAACAAAAACACAGCAAAGAAGCTAAAGCCTAGCTCAGCTTCAATAGGGAGTTTGCCAGGTGTAGGTAGAGAAGACAGAAGGTAAGGGGTTCGGAGAAAAAGAGTAACATCAGGACTTTTTCATTATTTTAGCTCGAGCATCCGGAGAGACTAATTTACTCCTCGTCCTCCTCCTCGTCAACGGTGGTCTTGGCGATACGGTCAAGATCACGCTGGCCGCTCTGGGTGATGCGACGGCCACCCTTCTCCTCATCGTGCTCGAGGACACCGATCTTCTCGAGGGACTGCATGACCTTACGGTCGACGGAGCCGGAGGCATCGACGTGGTGGGCGGGGCGGGAGCCGCGGTTCTTGGTGGAACCGTGGACCTTGCGGAGACGGCCAACACCGACGGTCTTGCGCATGTAGATGTGGCGAGCGACGGCGGCGGCGCGGATGTAGTACCTATTTGCAAGTATTCGTTAATCACGCTGGTTCTTTTTCTTCTTCCGAGATGTTTGAATCAATGGCAGTTGTCGTACCAGTCGGCATCCTGGGGAGGGAGCTCGTTGGAGGCGGAGGTCTTGACAGTGTCAACCCATCCTATTTAAACCGTATTAGTTTTTTGATCTGATTGTTGCGACTGTTCGAATGAATTCCGTGTGCACGAACCAGGAATGGGGAGCTTTCCCTGACGCTTCAGGAAAGCAGAGTAAGCAGCGATGAACTTCTGCGCCTATAACCATGGAAAAGAATCCTGTTAGCCGTTCCGTCCACAAATCATCCTATATCGTAGATTGCCTGGCAGGTGCGCATTCAGGCATGGCATGGCATGGCATATAACATGGCACGGCACGTATCGGCAAATCTGGACATGTCCTGCAAGTCGCGGCGGCAGTAGTTCCAGTTCGTCCCTGACCCCATAACATCCATTTGATCCAGAATCTCCATATTCAATATACATGGTTGGGGTATACAATCGCGTAGTCGTGGAAGCATTGCATATTCCCCAATCCATACCCCAAACTCATCACATCTGATACTCACAGAGTATCAGTACCCAGCCTTGCTTGATGCGCCCAAATTCGATCCCAGATAGATATATATGATTGTCGCTTGCTCCGTTGAATGCCGATACCAGGTTAAATCTCATTTTTTTTGTCGGTTTGTCCTGATCGTGCCGTGCCATATTGTGCCATGCCATGCCATCCATCCATTCCGCACCGACCATCCCAATCTCGAATCTTGACATGACATGACTTACGTCGACATCGCGAACGGTGACACCACCCATTTTTGCGACTTGTTGAACCTCGAACGGGGAATCGAAGAGAGGGACGAGGGAGGCGTGGAGGGGGATGGGTCGGTCGTTGTCGTCGTTGAAGGGGAGTCGGGGTCAGAAAGCCTCGAAATTTCGGATTCGCACACAACTTTGCGCGAGTAGTGCTTCTCGGTTGGCTGTGGGCGCTTCGCTTAGCCTGTTTGGGTTAGCCGTACCCTAAGTTGGTGCCTGGGGCAGATGGTGCTGGGCGGTGAGTTTTTGATGGGTCATGTGACTGGGGTCGTGCGTTCAGGCATGAATTATATTGATGCCTTAGTTTCGTATCATGTAGATCCGTGATTAGTGAGCAATTACTACTAACTAAAGGAGCATGTTCAACATACGTATTCCTCTATTTCATCTCCATCCCTACTGTACAGTCTATGGTATAATTATCGTGATTCATAAAGCGAAAACCCATTATCCTCCATTACGAGAAGAGAAAAAAAAAGTAACCCGAAATATCCCAGCCAACGCCTGCCTTCCTGCCAAACCTAACTCATTCTTCCTACAGCGTTGGCGCCCGCTTCAGCCCAACGCAGTATCGCACAAATAGGGTATCAATAAAGTGTTCGTGACGAATGCCTGGTGGACGTCGCCGTTCGAACTCCTCGATCGCTTCCGGCACACTGAATCCGCGCCGTTCGATCAGGTATGAGACAATCAAGAATCCCGTGCGGTTGAATCCGTAATGACAGTGGACTCCCACCACTGGACGTGGACCCTCGGGATTGCCGGACTTCTCCATCTTCTCAGTGATTTCATTCTGTAGTCGGTCTACTAGTGCGATGAAATCGCGAACCTCGTCTGGAGTAGGGGGGATCTTTGACACCGTGGGATGCTTGTGGTAGTGGATGCCGCCTTTCTCCATGGACGCGGGATTGTACACCGGATTCTCGTAGCTGATATCAATCACAGCGTAGATCTTGTCGCGGTAAGCTTGAGAGAACAGCACAGGGTTGTGTTCTTCGTCCACCTCCCGGAGCATCTTGAGCGCCGCAAAGGTGTCAGCAATTCTTTCTGACACTGGAGCAACCTTCTTCCACTTCGCCAGGTTCTTCACGTCCCACTTTCCTGACGTATTGAGATATTGCAGCTGCCAACCCATGCTGAGGCGGTTATCGATGTGCTGGCTGAGAAAGTCTTGGATGATCCCGGCAAGAGTGCGGTACGTCGCACGGTCGTAGATCAAAGCATGAGACGCCGGAGCAGGCAAGATAACAGTCTTGACCGACCGCCGAGATCCCGGCTGATCAGACTCACTCGTGATCTCCTTCTCTTCAATCTGTGGCTCCACCCCAAATTCCTCTTCGTGTGCCCGCCGATCATACGATGCCGGCATCTTATCGTGAACCGCGGATGCATCGGGAATGGAGTTCACTCCATCCGCGTCGTCATCCACGCTGCACCCTGTTCGGGCAAAGAACTCCAGGATCTTCTTTAGCTCTGCAGGTTTGTTCACCGCATCCGCTTCACCAGCCACTAGGAGAACGGGCGTGCGCACGCCTGCCCATACATCTTCGCCCGGGATGCCTCCGACGGCCTTGCCATTACTGTCATACGACGGCAGTGTTCCCCATGCCATCCGTCTCCACACGGCCGTCTTGCTCTGCTTGTTATAGCGGACTTGGAGGCCTCTGGTATCGGGATCTGCTGCTGCGCCGACAAGCCTGTTCACGCTGGTGCTGTGTAAACCGCCCCGCCGATCCCAGTAGCGCCAGAGGTCGAAGATTGGGCTGGGTACATGAAGAAGCCGGCGAAATTTGGCAACATCATGTGGAGGTGGGGGTGCAGCGCGAGGGCAGACGGCAATGAGACCAAGAATATGTTCTTTCAAACCAGCGCCTATCGAAGACGTGGAGGATGCTAATAGAGCAGACAGCGAACAGCCCAGACTATGAGAGATTAGAACCACTTCTTGGCCTGCTTCCTTGTCCCGGTGCTGCTCAATGGCTGTAGCAAGCAACTCTGCCAGCGCTTCCACAGTATACGCGTCCCAAGAAGTGGGCGAAAAAGACGACAAGCCGCACCCAGGGAGATCGATCCCAAAGCAAGGCCCGACATTGGAAAGACTCGTAAGCAGATGATTAAATTGCGCAAGAGATCCACCCAAGCCATGCACAAAGACCAACAACGGAATCGGCGAGGGCTTAGTGGGCAATTTGTCCTTTTGAGGATGCGGACGGAAGAACGTTCTGATAGAAGGATATGTCGCCGTAGATGTTGTGTATGACAGATATGATGAGTGCTTCTTCAGGAGGCCTGGGTCTGTATCATGGGCTTGTCTATGTCAGTATCCGACATTGAAACACTGAGAGAGTACCAACCATTCTCGCTCTGCTTTTGTTGAGGCACTTCCGTCTTCTCTGCAACAGTGCCTTCAGTACCATGGCGTAGAGATCCCGTGCTATCGTAGTCTTCCTCATCGGAAGAAGTAACCATTCCTTCAGAGCGCTTGGATAAGCCTTTGCGCGTTCGACGAAAACGTGCCTTTCCTGAGACTTGTCCCCAGGCCTTGCGCCGCAGGACGGAAGAAATGACTCCGCAACTCAGCATAGTGATGAAACAAGTAGTCAGGAAAACGACCTTTCCCCAATTCACCGTGCCATCGTAGCTATATGCCTGACAAAGACGGGCGAGTGAAGCAAAAGCACCAGAATTGGTGAAGGCAGTGTAAGTCGAGTCCCAAAGGCGTAGAGAAGCACCAAAATCCACAAGACCGGACCGAGAGGTGGTAGGGGAGGTTAAAGGGACATCTGTCGACCCCATCCCCGGCGGCGACGAAGACAAGGTTGGGGATATTTATAAGACTACCGACTGGTCCAGGCGCGAAGCTGCGTCGCCCCTAAACAGGAACCTTATTACCGCTCACCGATCGCCCACGCCTTAACACCTAGTGTCAGGGATCCCTCCGTTTAGGGACCAACGATCGGGAGCGAAGAGGATCCTTTCTGGAATGCGAGTCGAAGTTCACACGAGCCGAGAGAACGGCACCTCTTTGGCGGGCCAGGAGAGTCTCCGGGATCGATAGTGAGGCAACGGAGCGGGTCGATCGAAACACTCAGCAGCCGGCAAGCCCAACGATAGCGCGCTATGAGGCAACGAGTCTGGAGTAGACTAATTTGAGGTAAGGAGAGCTTGTTCTTAGGCACGACTTTAACTGCGCCCCGGGATGGTTTGGACCAATGAATGCTGGGTATCCGTCACGTTGGTCTGCTGGCTGCGTCTAGGCGTTCCGGACAATCTGACAGATCCACCAGGTCTTTATCTGAACCAAAGCAAGGAGGACGACGGCCCAATTTGTTTTAAGGACT